CTCCCGGAATCAAAGGCATTGTGTGCGTTCGAAGTTTTAGTGAGGATAGGTCGCGATTTACTGAGTCGTTTAACTGGACCAGAGAACTTGGAAAATAGGTTGGTCCTATTCGTTCTACAAACGTATATCATGTTAAAGTCTGGAGTCAATTCACTCTTCAGGAGAGTTGAAGCGGTTCAGTTCGTGGGCTGGCTGAAGGATTGCTTTGTGCACCACTGGGCACATCTGGATAACAAGCAGAAAGAACAAGTTGTTGACCTATGGGCGGCTTTGGGCTTTGAAGTGCCACCTGGAATGAAAGCATCTGCAGAAGCGAAGATGAAGCGTTTGGATTTGAAGATGAACATGGTTTATTATCAACTGGAGTACGGCGGAGAGTTGATCGACATTCAATCAGATCCCAGGAAAGACGACCGTGTTACCGGTTTCTCTCCGGATGCATGGCAAAGGCGAATGCTAGACTCGGTGGATCGCGGTTGGTTCTTGAATCTAGAGGAATCAGAACATCTCCAGCCTCACTATCATTATTGCCCCTTCAGGCAACTCAGCTGTAATTGTTGCACCCACGTCAGCCGGTAAAACTTTCGTGTCGTATTACTGCATTGAGAAGGTTTTACGAAATAGCGACGATGATGTTGTTGTTTACGTATCGCCTTCTAAAGCTCTTATAAATCAGGTGACTAGATACTAACTATATCATGAAATTTCGAATAAAATTCCTTGCTTTCTTTCTTCAGGTTTGCGGCTCAGTGTATGCTCGTTTCCGGAACAAGAGTATGACACGAGGAAAATCACTGTTTGGAACATTGAATCCTGAGCATTCTCTCAATCCGTTGGCATGTCAGGTATGTTAAGGTTGTAGCGCAGTAATTTTCACGTGTACATTTGATTTATTTCCTTTTAATCGAGTAATTTTTTCATCTATGGAGCTTTGAGTTGTTTCATATACCATTAGAGAACTCACTGAACTTTAGGTTTTGGTGACAGTGCCTGAGTCATTAGAAGCGCTCATGTTATCCACTAATCCAAAAGTGCAGGAATTCGTTTCACATATTAAATATGTTGTGTTTGACGAGGTGCACTCAATTGGGTAAATCTGTTTGCAGCATAATTATGTTTTAATGAAATTTTGATGTAAATTTACTTGCTTATACTGTTTATTGTAATTAAGTGCATCGCCTGAGGCACATATATGGGAACATTTGCTTCTTCTAATACAGTGCCCATTCCTTGCGCTATCAGCTACAATTGGAAACGCAGCGAAATTGCATGCGTGGTTAGACAATGCTGAGCAGAACAAGACAGATCGCAAACGGAAGGTGACCTACTTGATCGTTTGGCCTTACTTTTGTATATATTATTAAATGTTTTATTCTACTTGGCAAGTTCTATTCCATTTTTATCGAGTTTAGCTGTTTATTTCTGTGGGACCTCTTTTGACCTGCCCCTGTACTTACCGTTAGTGCTGTGCTTTTTTTGCAGAGTATGGTAGCGATAAATGAAAAACATGGCCACGATTGCAATTATGAATGAGAGTACTCTTAATTTTGAATCGCATGTGATCGTGTAATAATCCAGAAACTTCTGAATTTGATAACACCCCTCCCCTCTCGACTCTTAGGAAGGACATTTTAAGGAGCTCAAATAATTTTTACTAGTTCCATCCTTAAGGCCTCTGTTTCCATGTTTTTTTTTAACCAATGAT